GCTACTAACAGAGAAACTGATCTTCTTGTTGCTGGATGGCAATAAGGAGTTACACAAACGTCCAGTTTTTAGCTCAGCTGGAAGGACTTAAATTCTCTTTTTTTGATATAAATACTACTGGAGCTCCCATCAGGTACTTCTTTTCCAGAACCTCACTGGAAATTCTTTTTAACCCTCCAAAGCTCTCCAAAGCTAAAATGTCCTCTTGCTCCAGGCATCTGACGATTTGTTCTGTGCTGCCAGACGCAGAGACGTTGTTTTCCCCAGTACCACTGCTGGGTTATTCCGACTTGGGTCGGTGCCTAAACCGAACCCTGTACTTAATTGACTCAGCCAAGTCGAAGGGAACACACAGACGATGCAGCGACAGGGATTCGTTAGGTTGAACAGCCCCAGAGCCCCAGGCCCACCCTCCCCCCTCTCCCCAAGTTACTTGGTGCTGTTTTAAAAAGTCTGGGTGTCACGAAGCAGTCTCTTCCCCCCAACAACAGAGTAAAAGCTCCACAGATTTCGCCGTCTACCTGGTGGTCAAGGTTACAGCAGCAACAGCTGATGCTGCTTCCAGAAAAACACGGGGTGGTGCGCCAGGACTTTAGGATTGCTTCAGTCGCTTACGTGGAGGTCCCAGAAAGGGACACTGTGCAGAGGCCAGAGAGCGATATGCCTCAGCCACCAAATGGGGATGCGATACTACCATAGACTTCCAGCCTGATGTCTCCATGACGTCAGAAGCGTGACTAGAAATAAAGAGAATAAATCTGAAGTGATCAACTGGGGATAAAAAGGATTAACTAAAGAGATTCTTTCCACCGTGCCCGAGAAACCTGACATTTTTAGTGTACTGTTTTAGGATCACTCCGGATGGACATCAGGTATCTTTTGCGAAGATCGCAAGCTCTGGCTCTGCTGGCACAACTGTTTGCTGGACAGTCCTTCCACTTAAGGATAAAAAGCTCAAACATACAGGATCCCAGGCAGAGGGCAGCAGGAACACAATGCTCATCTACCCTGACTACTCAGCACAGAAGTATTTTAAATCAATATGGAAAGTACTGAGAAAAACTGTATTAACTGACAAACAGGACTAAAAACGGTTCCAGACATTGAAGTAGTTGGTAGTCCTATCTACTGAAAGGTCTGTTATATGACAAGTGGCAAATAGTCCCTCAATATCAGGGACTACCTGATATTCTACTACCTAGAAGTTCTTGTGATCTTTGGAAGTGATCCACAATAGCTCACAAAGACAGTCCTGCTGCACGCTCTGACCAGCCCCAGCAGGATAAGACTGACCTGCCCTTAGGGCAATGTCACTTCTGGGATGCCAAATAAACACAGGATCACAATGGGAGAACTAAAAAAAAAGAAAAATAATAGAGGGGAACCTCCCCTGCATGTGACAGTTCACCAGCGGTGAACCCCATTGCTAATAAACTCCACTTTCCTCTAGATTTGTTGCCCCCTGGAACAAAAGTAAACTCACTAGTTAATGAAGTCGACTGCTTGAGTTTTCAGCTGATCGGCACTATGTAGGTCAGCTAGAATGAGGATCTCGGCCGCGTTTTCCACAGACAGGTTACTGCACAGCGCGTCCTCGCACATCACCTTCAGGCGCTCCAGGGCATACTGCAAAATACAAGGCAAAGCCCGGTGACCAAGAAGAAAACCCCTCATCAGGCCTGACACGAAGCCTTACTTGTGCTCCTTCACTCTTCAGTAACAAACTACACTATTATGCTGAACAGAGTTTTTTGCTTTGCTATATGAACTGCGCTCAAAGAAGTAGCGGCCAGCAAAAAAAAAAAAAACAGAAAAAAGAAAACAAACAAAAAAGAGAATCATGATGCGCCCACCCTGAGGAAAGCAATGGAGAGGAAACATACCCACCATAACTCTCATCCCGGCCTCCTTGTGTTACAGGCTTACTGGTGCTGTGTTCATGCTTGGAAATGAGAATTTCAGGTCACCTGCAATATTTACTATCCCAGTTACTTCAAGGCACAGAATGCTAAAGCCAAACCTTTATTCTCACTCTTACTGCAGGACAGTACTACCTGGGTTTCAGTGGGAAGACCTATCTAACAGTGAATGCTCCATAGGTGTTCCAGGGATGTTTAGGCAGTTTTCACTCAATTTCTCTGCCATTAATGACCTGCACATTAAGATCAGCCTTGCTCAAGGACGTGCTACTAGTTTAATACTAGTGTTAAACAAATGCCCCTGATTTCTTGTGGCTGTCCAGCTGGAAACAGAACATCACAGCAGGCCTGTAATGCCCTGGCAAAAGCTCTAACTTCACATTCTCAGTCTAAGAGCTTCTACCTTTCAGTTGTGCATTTGCCTCAACGTTTTTTAGATCCACAAGGCTGGGCCATGTCAACGGTTTGCAAAACTCAAAGGATACGCTTAGCAGAAGAGTGCTGTCTAATAAGTTTCACACTTTACTTTCTGCAGCACCTCAGTCATACTGAGCCACGCAGACACAGCCACGGTTTTCAAAAGCAACACAGTGGTCTTGGGCAGACTTCAAGAAGGTCAACACTCAGGAAACTGCAAGCCGCTCGTTATCAAGACAGAAAGCAAAACCCCAAACCTCAGTCATCATAGCTAGGAACTGCGAGACAGATACTTCTGAAAATCTTGGTACGTGTGATCTGATCATGGGGTTTGCGGCTCTTTGGATGAAACAAACGGAATATTTCCAAATAGTTCTGAATATTCTAGATCCTGTAATTGTATTTCACAGGGATCAGGAGAGGAGTCAATTCTAACGCAGTTCTTAGAGGAGTAATAACATTAGCACTACATAAATCGTCTTAAAGATTAAACACAGTTAAGTCTTTCTTCATGTTCTGATTTCAAATTGAGTGACATTTTAAAAAAAAAATAACATCTTTAAGACTTATTTTTTTTTTACCTGACAGATAACTGCATTTAAGAGTATTCTTCATATTGTTTATAATGCTTTTTCGGACAGAAATGACGTGGTAGACAAGTTCAGTATATGAGGCCGCATTCGGAAAAGATACCAGATTTGTAAGGACTGCTCTGTCAACCTGACCAGAGAGCAGGTGACAAGCACAAGACAAAGGGAGCTCTGGCCATATGATAAGCACTATTACTATAAATTGATTTTATATTCTGATCGAGATTTTCGTGCCATTATGATTAAATTTAAATGAATAATTTTAGATTATAAAAACATCTTTTCACTTAAGGCTCGGCGATAATTACTTCACTTGAGGCATGGCACTCATAACCAGGACAATTTTCTCCCACCAGAACATCTGAGAAGGCAAATCAAATTTACTTGCTTAATCTGTATCAATAACTACAACAGTTTCAAGTGAGGGGCGAGCCATTACTTTGTATTATTGTCTGTCAGTAGCTTAAAATGCAGCAAACGAAGGTTAAAATCGTTCCTTTTGTGAATCGAATATTCTCCTCCACGCGTGCACAGTTTTTACTTCGATTTTCACTACAAATAGCTCAGCTTCTAATTACATACTTGGGCAAAAGTAGCCATTCTGGTCTCTCAGGTACCAAGATTTCCCCTTCCCCCTTTTCTTAATTACACTTTAAAAAAAACACCCTACCTAATAGCACACTTACCCAAGAGGCTGAAATAGTATCTCCTGGGTTGAGAAGACGTGCTTTGTTTTGGTTTTGGTCTAATTACATATTTTCCCCAAGAGACAGGAGGAACTCAGAAGAAGCTGTTTCAGTCTCTTGAGTAAATATTAAATGTTTTATGTGCTTTCATGAAAGATTTTTTATTTCTGCTTTTAAAAAGACACACAATGAGTTTAAAAGGGAGAAAAACCTACGTTAAAAGCCAGGAAACACAAAGTTAAAGCCTACTCTGTCCTTAATGTACTGCTTCTTACTTACACTTGTCTCAGTTAAAGATGGTATGTGAGCTCTCAATCAGTACTCCTTAAATATTGAATAAAATATGTGGCAATGATTATAATCAGGCCAAGAATCTCCTTGCATTATTCCCCATTTTAATTCTAGTTGCAGTGGCCTAATAATGGCATATGGAGCATTTCACCTCTAAAACCAGCATTTCTGATGAAGCCCAGGTCCGCAGTGACAGGGAATTTGATGGCTGTGTGGTGGTTGCGTGGAACAAGGTTACATGCATCCACATCTTAAAATCCACCACCCTAACTGGCACCCACAAGAGAATCCAAGGACTGAAGAAGCATGGAGACTGAACTACGGTCTCACCCCTAGAGGTGGTCCCTCCAGGTCAGAGTTGAGGCACATTGGCAGGGCAGTGTGGAGAATCTTGCACTGCTGCTACCCGTGCTGAACCTGTTCGATGGATAAATTCAGGGCTTTAGTCTCCAGTGCTGTCAAACTGGCATCTTTCACCAGCACTAAGTTCACTTTTAAGAGAAAAAAAAGAAAAAGGAAATAAAATTTTGGTTATATATTACGAATTTTCACTGGTTAATACGGCTCAGTGGCCAGCAGAGCACTCTCTTCTGTCCTTGGTGCTGCAAAGGGAAGGAGGCAGCGGCTGGCTGGCTGGCAAGGCCACAGCGCTGCGCCTGCTACACGGGGACTACCAGCAGCCTTCCAGTCACACCATCCCCGACACCTCCCTGGCAAGGACCCTGCAAAACCACAGATGGGTTAAGGCAATAGGGCTTCCTCCAGTGCACCCCTTCTCTCCATAACCAGCAGGGACTGCCACTGCAAAAAGAAAACAAACCACAGGACCTTCCCCACTCTTGGCTATCCGTGCCTTTAGAGCATCCCTTGAAGCTGCTGATACCAGCCAGACCAGAAGGAGAAGCAGGCCCTGTTTGCCAAGACAGAACGCTACTTTGGAGATTTTGTAATAGTCACATCAAGAAAAAAAATATCGCCAGGTCCACCTGGAAATTTTCTTCTCACCCCCAGCTCTTATGCTAGATTATGCTGAGTAGAGACGTCCGCTGAAATTTTAAGAAAACCCTTAAAAATGAGCAGTAGAGACAGAAATTCCTGATTGTTACAGGTTAAGATACGTATCTATACAGCTATAGGTATCTTACAGGTATATCCTATCTTACAGGTATCTTATACCACATCCAGGTTTACGTATAAGCCACAACCAATTTAAAGAAAACTGCCCAACCACAATGACCACATGAAAAGCTTACTGCAGCAATCTTCAAGGAGCATTGTGTAAAGCGAGGCGCATGTCATTCCCGGCTCTCTGAACTCCCACAAATCCCAACTGTACCTTGTCAGCAGCTGCCAGCAAGTCGTCAGCCATTTTGTCAAGATTTGGTGCCTTCCCCGTGTAAATAAAGCACATCATTTCCTTAAAAACTTCAGGCTCCACATCATTGATTTCAACTCGATTCTGTATCAGAAAAATGAAACTTATTAAGATCCTGACCAGAGGCTAAAGGCTTCCTTCTACCCAAGCTCTTTCAGTATCCAGAAATTTGCCACAGAGGCAAACTATTTAGAATGTGTACTACTCGCAAAAGAAGAAAACAAGAAAAAAAAGAAAAAAAGATGTGGATGGAGTAAGAACAACTCTAAGTTGTATTTCACATCCTCTGCTTCTCCCTATCCCACCCCAGATTCTTTCCCCAAGAGTAACAAAGGTAACAATTGCCTCCTTGATCCCTTTCTTCCTCCCTTCAGGACAGCTGAAGCGGAGACCTGCATCTAATGTGAGAAAAACAGTTAAAAGGTGACAAGAGTCACAAACACTACCTAGGAAAGTTATCTGACCAGCGATGCTAAGAGTGGACTAGAGAGCTATTCACCCAGCCAGAGAAGTTCTCCTTGCTTCAGCAACTTACCTTTTTACTCTCTTCCATCTCATGCTCAAACATGGCGCTGAAAACTGGGGAACGCGCTACGGCAGTGGGGAAAACAAAACACAGTTAGAAATGCTCTTTCGCTCTTCAGGAGGAGCTAAGTGCAGCCTGCCAACACCTCACCAACTGTCCTGCTACGTAATGCAGGAAAAAGTCTCCTATAGCAGGTAAGGCAAATTGGGTACAACTGGTAATGAAGTATATATAGGTTGTGACATAACGTAACGTGGCTGATGTAGCTTCAAACCGGGTATGGGAGATTTATTACGTCTTTTCAGCCAAGGCTGAAGAGTACAGGGGTGGTAAGGTAGGTTTCTCGACTTTACAAGAAAGTATTCCTCTGGAAATGGGCTAACTTCTCCTTACAAATGCTCTTGGAATACATTACAGTACCCTACAGCCACAGAAGATCCCTCCTACCATCCTCAACATGGCAGAGGCATTTAAAAATGGAGCAGATCTTCCCCTTCCCTGTAACAGTTCATCAAACTGTCTTTTACTACAGCCCTACAGTTAAAAGAGCTGCAGAAGTAAAGACAAAGTAACTCAGAAAACCCCACTTGCCATCACGTTGCTGCCTCCTATCCCGCTAAGGCCCATCCAACTCAATACCGACCTGCTAGGATGGCTTTGTGAGCCTTGAACTCCTGGCCTGCAACGCACAAACAGCAGTCCGTGAAGCGCGAATTCTCCCAGAGTCCTCCCAACTCGTCTGCCAAGCGGCACTCCGGTACCTTCACCATGTTCATGGTGTTCTGGCCGGAGATATTCACAGAGTCCTGGACCACACTCACCTGGAGGGGAAGAGAAAGCAAACCACCCAAAACCCTCAAAAACCCACACTGGAAAAATGAGTCTTCCTACAGGAAGTTTTTATTGCCAGGGCAGGTGGAGAGAAACGCGAAGCAAACCCCACACCTCTCCAGCAGAACCGCTGTATGATTAAAAATGTTGCTATTTTTAAAGCACCCTTTCTCTGCTCCTCCACAGTGTCTATCCCAAGTCCTAAATCACACCAGAGGACAACTTCTCAACCTCAAATTAACAGCACTTCCATGCAATTTAATCACAACTTTATTAGATTGTTTCCTAAGGAAGTGAAACCTTATTTTTCTGCTTTTACAGACACCATACTTGACCTAGTTTTTTTCCTTCTATCGACACTCTGAAACCCTCCCCAATCAATAATGCAATACAGACAGCAGTACAAATGAAAATGAAGTATACAGAGAGCTTCTATAACCAAGCACTGCACCACACATGTATGTGAGGGCAGTGCCTGACCCCCCCCAAATGCCTTGCTGCTTCTAAATTTCTTCCAGAGTTCAACGTTTCCCTCGCATTATGAAACAAAATAAATAAAAAACCTCCTTCAACAGTAGGTTTAAACAAGCAGCTTGATGTCAAGTAATCTGCAAGATTTGGGGAAGGCGGACAGATTCCTCATCATCTGCTCTAAAGCACAGAGTCAGGCAGGGACCATACGTAGCCATCCTGGCTGATGAACAACCTACACAAAGGGAACCGTTAAGAGCCTGTTCAGCACCAAACCATTATTGTTAAACACGCAGTAAATCATACGCCTTCTACAGCGGACTCCAATTAGAAAAGATCACAGTGACTAATACTGCCCCGCTATAACGAAGAATAAAGGAAGCAGCTGATTGACAGGGAAGCAGACGTCAGGCTGTTTCCTGGATTGGCTGTCAAGTCCAAGCTAAATTTCACTTCTATTAATAACCACTGGCCAAAGAAGAACAATGGACAGCAAAGGAAGCTTCACAGTTACGTAAAAGGAGAATTACAAAGCGAGAGAGACGACAGAAACATCTTCTAAGGGAAAAAACCTGCTGACAGCACCTATCCCAACTCCTGAGAAACCCCCGGTGGGTTTCCGATGGCAGCCACATCTGGTACAAACTATCCAACACTCGAAACCAAACACCTATGAGACGCTGCTTGCCAAAGGACACTAATGACTACCCAGAGCAAATGTGAGGAAGCTGCTATTCTTTGTCATTCATTTGACAGCTACGTCATCTTTTTCACCAGCAATACGGACTCAAGGATGGATGAAAACTAATCAGATTCATTAAAAAGGAATTCGAAGATGCAGATCCCTTGCTGGAGTCCAATACCAATTACAGATCAACCAAAAAAGACCTGCGAACTGTGCCTTAAATCAACAAATAAATCCTCTTCGTACATGAAAGAAAGTCGGTTCCTGGTATTAAAATCTATTACATGGCTTCTGACATAAGGAGTTTAGACTGATAGATTCCAAGTGGTGACCAGCCTTAGAGGTCAAAATAGAGAAGGTTTTGCTTAAGCTATTTTCAACATCTTAGCAGGGGAACCAATGCTGCCTAGCTCCAAAGAGAGCTATTACTATAACCTTGGGAATACTGTTCTTTTTGGAGATTTACTGGAATCCAGCCTATGATGCTGGAATAGAATTTCAACAGCAAAAAGTAATGCAGTTGGGATGTGAACAATCGACCCCACCTCCAAAACAGAGGTTGAAAAACCTCCTAACTGACAACTAAATGAGGCTTGATAAGGAATGCCATTCTCTGCCTTAACAGCATTTTCAGCACGACGTTATCTGTGTTCAGCACTGGACACGAGCAGAGAGCAGAAGGCTTTAATAAAGCAATGAGAAGGTGGAGCAGAGACACTCAGCAACCTTCTGGTCTACAGCAAACTCCAATACATCCCCACGTAACAAGCATCTCAACATCCAGCGCTGCTAACTCCTTGGAGAGTTTCTACATACAAAACCTGCCTGCTGAAGGCACGGATGGGAGCAGCATCACTTGGCACCTGGGGCCAGCTGCGAAGCATCAGGAGAGCACACAACGGTTTACATGCTAAGAGACCGAAAAGCTCAGGGAAGAAAAAGAAAAGAAAACAAAACAAAAAAGGGGGGGGACACACCCCCAAACTCAAGCTGTTGAAAGTTCTCGCCAAACCATTTCCAGACAGCAATACCTTCCCCTTCGATATCACTAACTGAAGATTTCTCACGTGCTAGACTACAGAACACGCTGGAGGAGAAAGCAGAAGGTATCAAGGCCAGGTGAAGCCAGCAGCAAGTTTCCTCTTCATCCAGAACAAACAAGAACAGCGAGCTGAAGCTTTTGAAGGGAGTAATTCAGTAAAGAGTGGAGTGACTTGAATTAGTACTAGTTGCCAAGACTACTGGTGGATCTCAGGTTTATCTACATGGCACCTCGCAAATTCCCTTCTCAGACATTAATTTATGAATTTCACTCCACTCCTGGAAGTTTTCCGGCTCTTTTATCACAAAGCAAAGAGGAATTGCCAGACCTACAGAGGTGTGATCCAAGACGCTGTCCTCTTCTCCCATATTGCTACAAATGTTAAAGGAAGGGCTCCCTCCGTGACAGCAATAATTTATGCTACTGACTGAATACGCATCCTTTAGGAGGTTTGTTACTTTAAACATGTGCATGCTTATGACGGCGAAACAAAACTGAAAAATAAACCCAAAACAACAAAAAACAAAAAACCCAAACCAAAATGAAAAAAACCAACCCAGCCGTCAAACAACTCTCACTGCAGCATTTCTTTCACTCCTGAAAGAAAACACAGCAAAAAGAAAAGACTCCCACAGAAAGCACTGCAGGAGATCCAAAAAGAGAGCAACCTGTGTTACCTGTCTTCTGGCAAAAATCACAGCTATAGAAGGTATTTCACAGTTAAAAAGACAATGGAAATAAGCAGAAGCTCTGAGGACACTAAATTAAAGAGTTTAAATTTGTCATGAAGGTTTCTAAACTTAAATATCTAGTTTTAGAAACAACTGCATCTTTCTCTGGAATTATATTAGTGAAATAATAATTTTGTAAACACAATGAACAGAAAATTGCTACTTTTCCTTGGCTGTATAGGCACACTTCGGAAAATCAAGAAAACTCTTCTATATTCAGTAGGCAAGTAACAGGCGGGCCAGTTTCCACCACAGAGCTAGTGCTGATAATTATCCCAAGTGAGTTTAAAATTAAGGAGTACAAACAGATGGATGGTAACATGAAACCAGAAGTGAAACGATACTCAAAGATGCTTAATTCCTATTATCATCCAGGTAAAAGACAAATACAAAATAAGAAAAAATAAATGGAAGTGAAATGTGATGAATCACACCCAGAAAAAGCCACCAGCCACGCAGGTGCGTGTGCACACACACACAAACAGTATCTAAGTGCCAGAAAAACATCCAGTCTTTCTCCTGACACTTCTGACTCCTTAAAAGCAATGATGAAAACCAAGGTTACGTCTACCCCAAGCTAATGGAACTGCTATTCTTTCAGCTGCACAGGAAGACTTACCTCACAGAAGAGAGTGAGTTTGTCATCTGGAAGAAGTCCATTGGCCTCATCCAAAAGAAAGTCTCTTCTAATAAATTTTTTGAATCCCCAGTCCTTGCCTTGTACAAATCGATATGCTCGCTGGCTCTCTGAAAGAAAGATACCGAGCTTCAAACCCCAGCTGAGCGACTCGCTTGATCAAACAGCAAAAGACAAACAACTGACCCCATCAGACAGAAAAGAGATTTTACACACCCATTGCTTTTGTTTCTTCTCCTTTAGCATTCAGGATGGAGAATTTGAACTTTGCTCGAACTTCACTTTTTGGACAGCTCACCAGCAACAGATAGAGGGACAGATAATCTTTACTTTCTTCATCCAAGCCTTTAGGGTTGACACGTAAACACCTGCAGAAGGAAGCAGCTGAATGAGATGTCAGGAACAGTTTTTGGCAGGTCATTCATGGCTTTCAAAGAAAGGCCATGGTGGAGTTTTCACAAGAAAACAGACAGCAAACGAGTTCCGTTTAACAGCCACTGAACCACTGAACTGAACACAGTCAGTGTCATGCTACATCCCCAAGACACATAATAATAAACAGGCAGTAACTATCGGCAAACCAATTAAAAAAAAAAAAAGCAAAAAAAACCAACACGGGGGAAAAGAGGAGGGGGGTACGGTTTAAATCACTGAAAAGCACCCTGGATGTCAACTTTCACGAAAGGAAAGTGAAAGAAATAGCAGACCGGAGGCAAGAGATTTCAGGAAGTGCAACAAATCCAGAGAGACGGTAGGTAAAATTTCACAGGAAGTAACTGAAAGGAAAAACAGATTTCTGGAAGCCTGGTCGTTTCTCAAAAACATAATACTAGGGCAAAAAGAGAAAACGACTCCTGTGTGAAGAAAAGGTAGTAAGCGCAGGAAGAGGCTAACTCAAGCGCTTCCCTGACCTGAAACTTGACACAGAATCTAACAAGAAGCAAAAACTAGGCCAAATGACTAACAGCTCAAACACACAAGGACAGAAAAATCAGGAAGATCTAGACATTAGAATGAGATCTGACTAGCAAAGGTTATAAAGAAAAGTAATTTAGTAACAAAAAGCAGTTCAAGGAAAGCACAGGTCTGCCACCCAAAGGAAGGGAACACAAATTGTACCACATACACACGCTGAATTATTTAGCGGCTGATGTGCTGCAATCTATACTAAGGAGGTTTAAAGAAAAATGCTAAAACACTTAACATGAGCCACAAAGGATAAAATAAGGAACAAGATGTCCATGGAGCTACTACTACGACTCGCAGCAGATATACATCCTGACCAAAGTCCCCTCTGAGTTACTGGAAATTACTTGAGAACTCAGGGGAGATAAGAAGGGTTTTAAAGGAAAGGAAAAGGGCAAACAAGCAGAAACTTCTGGGCAGAAGGAGTCACAGGACACAGAAGCGATGGAAGTAACAACGTTAAGCCTCTGAATTCACAAAAAGTTGCCGTGAAGAGAAAGGGAATACTGTAACAACGGTCTTAAATGGCAAAATTTATAGTGCGGGCAAAAATTGTCTTTTTAACAAAGTGGAGTATTAGGGAGTGAAACTGGGAGGCTGAAATAGTGCTCGAATACACTGGCTGGGGACTCCCATTGGCTTGTAAGAACTTGTTAAGATGAACATCAGTCAAAAAACCCCAATTTTCCCTGCTTCAAGGCAGGACGCAGTCTCCCTTCCAGCTACGGCTTCTCTTACTTCTGATGTTTTCCACTATCAGAGAAACACCGCAGACAGCCAGACCTCACATTTGTTTTGTGTGTCCAAACACCAGGCCAAAGCAACAGTACTTTCTCCCAGTGCACGTGTGGTACATCCAAGGAAGCAAGAACCCGTGTGCAGTAACATATTTTTTTTCTACATTTCCTGTTACAAAACCCAAATTCTCTCACGCAGTTGCACAAACGGGGCGAAACTCTCTGCTCTGTTTCTTACCATTTGAGTTTATCATTGGCTCCAGATGAAAAGGTTGAGCTTTTGATGACCTCACCCATTTCTTCTCGGCAGAAGCTAAAGTTGTTTATGGTCCACATATAGGAAAACTTCACCACCTTGATCTTAAAACAAAGGATAATAGGCGGGTGAGGGTCATCCTGATCCTCGCTATCCATCTTAAAGGCAACAACCAAAAACCTGGAAGTGTTACTGAGCCACTTGCGCGACCAACAGCTCTCAAGACAAGAGCCTGGAAATGGCTGGCAGTGGCAGTTGGACCACTCCAACTCCCCCAACTGCCTCTTCCAAGCCCTGCCAGGGGCAGAGGCCCCAACAGGCCGTTGCCACGGCGACAGCTCACCTGGCAACATTTGCATATCCAGACTCTAAACTGGTTCTGAACCCATTTCTTACCACAGATTCTAACTGTGTTATGCCCAAACCATCTCAGTGCAGTGTGGACTTACCTGAGTGTAGCACCAGCTCTCTGCTACGGGTCCACTCGACATTTCTGCCGGAGGAGGAGGACTCGGCACCCTTGACATCGCCAGTTTGAAGATTAAACAGAATTTCACAACTCAGCAGAAGAAATTTATAATTGATCTTCACCCTGTCAGTCCCCCAAAAGAGAAAAAAAAACCACCAAACTAAGAACAAAGAAAGAAAGAAAAAAAAACACAACAAAAAAAACCCACATTCAGGAGTGCTGCTAAATCTCACGGCACACAAGTTAAAGCCATCCTGCTTTCTCCCTCCCCCTTAGCACCTTCAAAATATGATGTTACATTTAAACATTTTAAAGTGTTACCATATGTTTTCTGAAGAGCAGATACACCACCTCCACTCATTCTTTCAACATGCAGCTCCTTATAGGAATAAGCCTAGCATACAATTTCTTTTAAGCAGTCCAAAACTCAAATAGCAGACTCCCCACTCGACTCGGGATTTACGATTTTACCCTGAGGCCACCATTTCAACTCACTACTTACTCCCTACTTTCGTTTTGAGAGTCTCAGATTATCAGAGATCAGATGTGACAAATTAAATTCTTAATCTGAAAAAGCTACAGGTGGCAACATGCAACCCAAACTCACCAACAAAACAACACCCTAGGTTCAGGGTGGCTCCAGTACCACCAACAGAATAATCTCCTATAGCTGAAACCTTACTATTAGGGAAGCGTGGGTAATTATTTCTCTACTTCAAACTGAATCCCTTTGGCCAGAGGGAAATCCTCGTTGCCTTTATACGCTAGTGAAGTTCCCAACTTCTAAGTGCCAAGTCAAATCGTCGCCTGCAGAGAACACACGGGGTTAAAACCACTGCAACACACCTGAACGAACACACATGCACAACCGATAAAATGGCACCTAGTTACCAGAAGGCAGATTTTAAAAGAAAAACAGAATAATCGACCCATCTCTGACTTCTGAGTCCTGATCCCTAAGGCGGATACAGAAAACAAGATGAGCTCGGAAACTAGGATTCATAACTTCGGCAGATAGAAAATAGATAGATAGATAGAAAAGCACCACGTGCCTTACAGTTTAGCCTTCTGCTAAACACTTTCTGTTTGCAGGTGGTATTTATCTGCCCTCCTCTTACCGCACAGGACAGCCAGTGAACCACAAGAACTCCATTGCTGTTAGTTTTGAACTCGAAAAGATAAAAAAAAGAGATGAGTGAAAGACGTAAAATTGTTACCTGGAGATACGAATTGCTTTAAATACTAAGGCTGATATTGAGGTTTGCTGGAGGAGAAAGGCAAAGCACAGGCTCTTGAGGAAGGCTGAGTTACGAGTTGTTGAAAGGAAATGGTGGAAAGCAGAGAAAACATATACCTAGAAATCCCACACCTCAAAACAGCAGGAGAACGTCCACGATACGCACATCAACATATATGCCCCTAATTCCTCCCCAGCTGGAATCCAGAGTCCTTGAGCAGAGTTGCAGGGCAGGTCTGGATCCGAGTGCCGGCTCCAGCTGCAGAGCAGACCTCTCCCAGGCAAGGCTCACATCAGCCTTGCTCCAGCTCACGGCTCTGCGCTCGGGTTTTCAGTTCTATGCACCCTGAGAAAGCACCTGGAAATACTGGTACACGGGCATTAGTTAACTGGAAACCAAGAGTGGGGTTTTCTCAGGCTTAATTTCCTTTGGGGAAAAAAGTGAGCCCATGTAAATGTAAACACTGAAAGAGAGACACCAGCTATGGGGAGCTAAGGAGTAAGTATTTAACCCTGCAGAGATGCACACTTAACTCGATGGAGATTTATTTCCCGGAGCAAAGCTCAGAGGCAGACAACTAAAACCGAGCGCTCTCAAATCAAACTGCTTTACAAACTCCTTGCTTTTGCAGTTTGTGCTGTGCATGTGGAATGAAGGGGGAAAGATATTTTAAAATCAACATTTAAAAGAGACATCAATACGCACTTTAGGTACTTGCTGCAGCTCTTATTACATTAAGCTTAAAATTACCACAATTCCTCCAAAGAAACTCAATTATACCGCTCTGTGTCATTCAAATGAAGCCCAAGTGAGCAGACACTACTGTCGAGTACTTGGCTAACTGCCCTTCCATGGGCAACACTCAGGCTTGCTTCCCAGGACATCATCGCTTCACTGTCACAGGTCTTTGAGGGACAGATAAAACCTGAAATTCAAGGCGCAAGAAACACCCCCTCCTCTCCACGGCTTTTTTCCTAGTTTTAGTCGATGGGCAGGAAAGCCCCAAGCTTTTTCCTTCCCCTCAGGGTTCACAGCAGCACTGCTTAACCCCACCCAGGCTGTTGCATTGTTCTGTTCACAGCTATTTTTTAATCTACATTATCCGAGTGATCTGTTTTATATCACAGGCACAAACAACTGGGACACAAATTTGTGAGAGGAGAACAAGCAGCCAGGGAAAGGATGAAGTTCCTCAAGCTCAGCTCCTCCCTGATGGCAACCTGTCCGCACACTGAGCAACAAGACGCTAAGCCTAGTGAGCAGAAGAAAGCACAAGGAATAAGTAAAACGCAAGAGCGGGCCGCGAAATTAGATTTTGTTCTTGTTAAAATGGCAGTTTCAGTGATTTTAGTTTTCAACTAACATCTTTTTACTCAAACTACTGGCAACACCGACTTATTCCCGACTCTTAAAATACTTCCTCACGCAGAGCGAGAAATAAAGCAACTTTTATTTAAGAAGCACTAGAAAAGACGTAAAAATAACTTAGCTTGAGATAACTTTTGAATTCTCTGAAACAACGACACTATGGCCCTCCATACACCTGGCCAACACAGAGGCGTGAACGAAACCTCAAGCCACAACAACCTACTCTTCCTCCTAACAAGGATTTTGGGCACAGCCCACCACTGAGACACCCTAAAGCTCCATGTGAGGAATGGCCAGAGAGTCAGCAGCAGCGTCCCATCAGCATCTCCCGGTGACTGTGAGGCTGCAACGCTGTTCTCCTCATCCGGCTTCAGAATGATGACACGGAGCAGATCCTGAACAGTTCGGACAAGAAAACTATTTCCACACAAGGTATTTATCAACAATAAGCAGTTTTCTACAAGAAGACTTCTACTTCCAGGTAAACCAAAGCAATTAAGTATCCCTACACACACGTTAGAGCTTTCCTGGATGGAGCGTAGAAGTAATCCTAAATTCCTCTACCTTTCACTGCTCTCCAAGGAGCAAACCCCAGAAAGGCTGTAGCCATCAATCACATAAATGGGGAAGGAAATGGATAATCACATGACACACAAATTGAAACTAACAGCTACTTTCTGTATTTCAACGGGATTTTAAGATGTACCTAAATATTACCTCCATCTTACATATGCCAAGAAGTTTTAGAAAGCTTCTGTGGTCTAAAGGCAAGACAAATGTATGAGCTTGAGATACACAGGACTATTTAAGATCTTCTGAGTAACTGTCACTTTTATATCTTACATCCTTTCCTCCCAGATGGCTTGGATAGGCAGGTGGTAATAAAAGTTATGACAACGTGCTAATAGAATTGCAGCATGCCAGCACGTCATTCGTTATGCTTTTAACATGGCCCATGGTTCTAGATTTTAAAGAGTTTCTATTACTTGGAAAAAACTTTCAGTCTGGTAAGTCAAAGCTTTCTACAGATGCTTTGCAAGGCAGTTAAATACAGTTAAAGAGATGTTAAATTCCAACATACTCCTAGCTCAATATGGCAATCAGCCATCAAACACTTGTCATCAAATGACATCACTGCTACTTTTACTGCTGTAGCAAGTCATAATGGGAATAAACAGGTAATATTCATCACTGTCTTTTGCAAAAATTACCAGTAAGGAAAAACTTGCCATTTGCCTTGCTTAGCAGGCACATGAATATGGGAAGCACATAAAAGGTCACTGAAATACATCCTTACAAGTGAGTGTGCCTTGGAAACTACCCCGTGCTGTTCCACCTCCAAATGCTGAACTGCTCTTCTGATGTGAACCAATATTAAATGCATTTTGAAAGGAACCACAGCTGACAGAAGGTAAAGTTAAGTTTCCGAAATCAGCAGGGCACCCCCGGTGTTTATTTGCTCACGAACACTTAATACTTCACCAGTTCACACTCCTTCTCTAACAGCGCTTGGCACCTCTGAACTAGGAGTGAATTAAAGGGCGCTGCGGGCAGAGGTTTTAGGAAAACATTTTGTAAATAGTTTGGATATCAAAATTCTTTCTGGCCAGGAGAGGCAGGGACAAACTTGAAGGTACAGGCATAAATACCAAGTCACAGGAAACAAAATACAAAATATTATCTTATGGACCCTGCGAGCCCATGTACAGTCTGAGAGTCCCTTACTTCCTCGGATATAAATGACAAACAGCATTTGTCTCTGGACATAGTTAAGAAAAAGAATATTTCTCAACTCATTCACAACCACGTCCAGACAAAGACATCTTATCTAAGAACCAGAGCCAGATCAGACCCTTTTGAAGCACAGGAAATGTTCCCTGGCCACCTTGTCCTCTGTCTCCTCACTTCACAGCTGTACCAAGACATCTCAGCTCAAAACTTCACCTTACTGTAGGAATCAACAATCGAAGCTATTCTGCGAGCAGCACAGACTTGACCTGAGAGAGGAGAGGAACATCAACTCAACAAATAATTCCAGAAGAGGCTTCAAAGTTACCAGACTTTTGCTAAACAACCTGTCAATTTCTGCTTCTCAAGATAAACCAACTACCTTTTAAGAAACCAGTAGTTTACACCAGAAATTTCCAAGTATATTCGTTTTCAGTAAGTTTTATTCAGTAAAAGATAACTTACAGAAGTCTGTATAAAAAAGTATATTTTTAATTAAGTGTTTCAAAAACGGGGGTGGCTGCTTCTTGGACCAGCAACGTATCAAAGACTATCCAAGAGCAGCACAAAGCGCAGAGAAAAGGAGCAGGACAAAGATAATTGGAGCAATAAAACAAGGGGATGAGATACAGAAGCACAGGAAAAGACCATTATCTTCCTGCATTCTTCAAAGCCCTGGAAAGGACAATGGAAGGTCTGAATTTGCTGCAGTAAAGAAAGAAAA